AAAAATGAATGAACTCAAAATGCGCTAAAATAAGCCCTCCCCGAAAATATTGCAACACAGCAGCAACCGTGAGGTGACCACACTCGCCACCTCCTGCACCTCAAAAATAATAAGATCTCCCCAAAAATAAGGTCAAGTGCTTATTTTGGGGGGGGGGATCAAACGAAAATAAGACCCTGTCTTAATAGTTGAATTATTGCATTATTTCCTACTTCCTGCACTCTTGTTCTGTCATATCAGCATTCAACCCCAAACTAGGTTTAAATTAGATCACCTGTTAAATAAAACCTGACATTAATTGGGATTGGGATTGGGTTTTTCTTCAGTTCAGACCTGTAGGGAGTCATAAATATTTGGGTGAAAAACATACGCAAACCCATTGTGATTTAAATAGCAGATCCCTTAAATGAGTGTATCTTAAGCCAGTCTATAACCGTGTAAAACAGCAAATGATGCCCCTCTCAAATTTACAACTAAGACTTGAGCCTTCTAATGCTGGGATGAGGATAGGAAATTAAAAAATATAACACTTTCAATAATTAATCTTTAATCTCTTTATCTCAGGACTCCTGAAACTTTGCAGACTGCAACTGCCCATGTAGGATTGCAAAGATAAAATGAGGGGCAAACTCTCGTGGGAGTTTTGACTTTCCCTGCACAGACAAAACTGGAGCTTTGTCCAAATGGGTGGCTGCTTTGTTTTATGATAGACAGACAGAGAGACAGAGAGGATTCTCAGTTGCTTAAAACCTTGATGACTCCCAATTCACAAACTTAGAGCCCCTGTGTGGCCAACTTCATGCAGCTCCGTTTAGAAATATTCATTAATATGGAACTTCCACTTTATTTCTATTCTGCCTTTGTTGTTGTTATAAAATCACACAGCTGGTTTTCATGCAGTCTTCTAAATTCTACCCTGGTGCATTAACCACTACCATGTTTTCCCCCAAAATAAGGCAGGGTCTTTTGACCCCCAAAATAAGCACTTGGCCTTATTTTTGGGGAGGTCTTATTATTTTTGAGGTGCAGGAGGCCCCTTAACCTCTGCTCGTAGCCCGCAGATCAGCTAATCCAGAGAGGGCCGGAAGTTCTGTCTCTGTAGCATTGCTGGGCCTGCTGCTCTTTTCACGGCCACCACTAAGAGAAGGGGGGTGGTAGCTAGGGTTTGCGGGAGTGGCCTCTGCAAGGCCGTTCCGCGTAGATGGCAGGTGCATGTGGGATGCGTAGGGCATGTCCCGTTCACCAGGAAATGGTGGGGACCAGCTGCACATGCATTTAAATATTTTAGTGGAGGGCTTATTTTTGGGGGAGGCCTTATTTTAGCACATGCACTCAAAAGCCCGATTGGGGTTATTATCCAGGGAGGTCTTATTTTTGGGGAAACAGGGTAGACCAGTGGTTCCCAAACTTGGCAACTTTAAGACTTGTGGACTTCAACTCCCAGANGGTTCACCAGCCCTGTTATATTCTTTCAAATATTTGGAGAATGGCACAATATTGTCCCTCTAATCTTTTCTAAAGCCATACCCAAATCTTTGAAACTCTCTTCACGGGATAACTTCTAGTTCTCTGATCATTCTTGTAGATGTTTCAGATTCTTTGGATGCTTCTTAAAGTAAAGTGTTCAGAACTGTGTATGGTGTTCAAGATGGGGGTAGGTGTCTTACCAATTCTTCTTCTTGTGCCATATCCATCATCGGATGTTGGCGATCATGTTGGCGATCCTATTTTTAGCAACAGCCGCAGGAAAAAGTGCTGTTGAGTTTTGATCCAAACCAGCCCCTTTGATTTTGAAGCCATGATGATCTTCTTCTGCCTGGACCTTGTCTGCCTTCAATCCAGTCTTATCAGTGCAGAATAAAATTGAATAAATACGTCCCATGGTTTAAAAACTATTACTTCTGTCGTTTCAGGCTAAATTACATTTGCCCTTTTTTTTGGGAATCACATTATGTTTCTGACCCATATTTTTTTACCAACTTCTTTTCTAAGATTTTCACCATAGGCATTATTATGTGCAGCCTATGTTATTACTGTGCAATTAATTTTTGGTTGCCCATGTGAAGAATTTACAATTGTTTCAAATACCATTCTATTGTTTTCAGCTAAAACTATTTTCGTCTTCTAGAGGATTAGCTATTCTACCTAATTTTCTATCGTGTAGATTTAATATGCATTCTCTCCATCTCTTTCTTCAAGTATTAATAAAACTAAGGAAGACTAAGAAGGCTAAGACCAATTGTGTGACATTTCCCTGAACCAAACCTGTATCTCATTCCAGTTTGATTAGGAATTATTGATCAATATTATTTGAGCTTGGTTTTCGAGCTAGGTATGATCTTGTTATGCCAACCAGCCCAGACTTGGCTAATTTACTAATGAGAATATCATGGCGAACTTAATCAAATACTTCCTTAAAGTCAAGATATATTATGTGTGCAACATTCCCACAATCTATTAAAGTTGCCAAATCAGAAAAATGAGATAAGATTCATTGAACAAGATTGTTTTTCCTACAGACCCCTAAGTGGAAAAATAACCGATGAACAAAATGCATAGTTTTTGCCACAATTGCAATAATCTCTTTGAAGTTTTTGATCTTTGGAAAAGCCGCTGTTCCCGATTTGGAATGCTTATTGGCATTTTTGAGTTGGCAGCCATTAATAGATCATTATGCCAATTAATAGTTCAGTTGATGGTGTCTTTGAATTTCGTTGTTGGTATTATTGCAACTATTCCTTTTCACTTGTTCACATTGTAGGCATTTTCAGGGAGTTTGGTGGAGCAAGGTGTGTACATAACATCGTAAAATACCCACAATGTAGGCAGCAAGCACTGATGATAATCCAGCAGCTGGTGTTGTCTCCAAGTGGTGATGATGACATGGGGACTCTCTTAGGCTTGATGCACTCCGCTCCCCCCACAGAATTGCAGCTGAAGACTGATATATTAAGAGTACGTATGCAAGACTTATTTCCCCCCCACTATTTCATGAGATTAATCTTTCTGTCACAATAATCAGATATAATTGCTCTGAAAATTAGCTACGAGTTTTAAAATCTGTTATATCAAAATATGCACGTGCCATGAAAGTTTTCATTTAAGGGTCCAAATAACAAATGTAAACCGAAGAAATAAAATATTTAGACATTCTTGAAGTACAAAAGATCAGGTTTGCATAATGAATCTGAGAAAGATGGTTGAGTTGGGTTTGATGAATGTCCTAGAATTAGCAGAGAAGCTTATTACTTTATTCCAAGTGACTTAAGAAGAGTAGTTGCAGAAATTGGATATGTCTAGTTTAATGAAAAGAAAGACTAGGGGTGACATGATAGCAGTATTCCAATATTTGAAGGGCTGCCACAAAGAAGAAGGGTGGGTGCTGGGTGTTGTCAACCTATTCTCTAAAGCACCTGAAGGCAGGACAAGAAGCAATGGGTGGAAACTAATCAAGGAGAGAATCAGCCTAGAACTAGGAGAAATTTCATGACAAAACAGTTAATCAGTGGAACAACTTGCCTCTAGAAGTTGTGAATGCTCCAACTGGAAGTTTTTAAGAAGAGATTGGACAACCGTTTGTCTGAAATGCTTATAGGGTTTCCTTCCTGATCCAGGGGGTTGGACTAGAAGACCTCCAAGATCCTTTCCTAACTTTGTTATTCGCAAATTAGAATATATATATTTAACATAGTGTAGAAATGACTATTGGTATTGGCCCAGAATTGGCTTTTGGGTATTGGAAACTCTGGTTCTGAAGTTCTTTGGATGGCTTTAACCGTCTTTCCAAGGTTGGTAAAATGAGAAGCCCAATTTCGCTAAATGTCTACAGAGATTCTCAGTCATCCAGGCCATGGTTATCCCAAAGGTGCTTTTTTTCAAGAGGCAAGTGGACTTTCTGGTTTTTCTTTGAAGATGTTTCGCTTCTCATCCAAGACGTTTCTTCAGCTCACAGCTGGAAAAGCTTCTTGGATGAGAAGCGAAACATCTTCAAAGAAGAACCAGAAAGTCCACTTGCCTCTTGAAAGAGCACCTTTGAAAGGGGGGGGGGCAGATTGTTGGGGACCATATGCTTTTATTGTCAGAGAGTTCTGTAAAGCACCGTGTAGTAGTATATAAGTCTTAAGTGCTATTGCTTTTAATCTGTCAGTGCCTAGACCCGTGGTGGTGAGTCTATGGGCACGCATGCCAGAAACGGCACACAGCCATTCTGCGTGAAACGCACGGCCTCAGTGGCTCCTCTTTTGCGTTCCTGTGCACACACACACAGAGGAGTGCCTAAATCTGGAAAAGCAGCGTTCTTGTGCGCATGTGGACACTGGCACCCAAAATTCGGGGTTTCCATTGCATGCATGTGTGATCTGTTTTTTGTTGGGCATGTGCCCATGCCGGAAACCGGAAATTGGGGTACCGGCATACGCATGTGCAACGGAATGCTGCTCTTCTGGGTTTTGGCGCAAGCGCAAAGACCAGCAAAGCGGTGCGTTCCTTGCAGAAGGTCGGCACGCGGCGATGGAAAAGGTTAGCAATCACTGGCCTAGATGCATCTAACAAATGCCTAAGAAATCCTATGCTTATATCTTATTCACACTGCCATATTTTAAACATCCACCTAGGCTTTGCTTTCGGTATTGAAGGAGAGCCATCGGACGAGAACGGTTTTCCGGAAAGTTGGTGGATTTGTATATATCACCTCGTTGTTGGTTGCCATGGAACGATCCTTATGCTCGCCGCTCAAAAACGGCTGGGAGAAAGTGAACCAGAACCAAGTCTTCGAGCTACTACACACGGTGCTGTGTACCTTGACTGCGGCCATGCGTTACGAGCCAGCCAACTCGCACTTCTTCAGAACGGAGATCCAGTACGAAAAGCTGGCCGATGCCGTAAGGTTGCTTGGCTGTTTCTCGGACTCCAGGAAACTAAGCCCCGTGAATGTCTTCCCCTCCAATACCCAGCCTTTTCAAAAACTGTTGGAAGATGACCTCGTCTCCATGGATACTGTCTCGCCCACTTTAAAGCACTGCAGCAAGCTCTTTATTTACCTCTACAAAGTAACCACAGATTCTTTTGACAGGTATGTTGTAGGGCCTTGCGACAAGAGTTCTGAATATTTGGGCGTATCGCGTTTCGTCTCTGTGATGCGTCCCTGGTGTAGCTTCCCACAAGCCTTCAAGTACGTAGGCATCTCCTAGCCATGAACATGTCCCAGGATATACCATATTCTTCGCACTATAAGACTCACCGGACCATAAGACGCACCAAGGTTTAGAGGAGGAAAACAAGAAAAAAAAATCAGGCGGAGCCTGAGAGGACCCCACATAGGTGTCCTCTCATGTGCCAGCTCTGCCTGTTGACTCCTGCACTGCGTAAAAGAGACAGAAGAGGCAGGCAATGACAAAGACAGAAGAGGCGGGGTTCAGCACTGTAAAAGGACCCTGCCGCTGTGGCCCGCCTGCTATTCACCAAAGGAACGACATTGACGCATAGATATTTCCACCCACTTTTTTGGGGGTGGGAGTGTGTCTTATGGAGTGAAAAATATGGTATGTTGCAGGATCTAATCTGTATCAGTCACCGGGACCAGAGGTTTAATCTTCCGAGCTTTCAGATTCGGGCCGGAGCCCATTCTCAACTAACTTCTCTCTACCAGATATGTGGTTGACATATCCCGGTAGAGAGGAATCCCCCGAGGATGGGCCCCAGCACGAGTCCAAACTCAGAAGACTAAACCTTTGGTCCCGGTGACTGACTCAGATTGTACCCCACATTTCATAGCTATTTGTTTTGGAGTTCTTGGTGCTTCCTGAACTTGGTTATTTTCTCACTGGTTTTTTTTTTCCTGCACTGATGAAGTTACGTAGTAGGGTAACGAAATGTCTGCAAGAAAGCAACCAAGCTCAGAAAGCACCGGTTCAACCCTGGATCACACATATTTCTTCCTATTGTGTTTCGGAAGATGGACATTTGTGTCATGTATACAATATTAGTCTGGAGAAGGCTAACTTAGTACAGTGCTCACTCTCTTAAGATGGATGAGGGCCAACCATTTCCTTCATATCCCAGCTCTTTACTGCCAATGATTTATGTGTCTGTAATCTCATTTTATTACATTGCACACACAATTTACAACAGGGAATTGTATTGGAGAAAGAATTTGGTTTTTTTGTGATAATGATTGCCTGTGTTATCTGGATCTTGGCAAAGAAGGATAGGGGCTTCTGTAGAATAATAGTAGTGGAGGAGCAAATAGCTTTGCTGAAATAATATCTTTGTGTTTGAAAGCTTAGAAGTGCCATCGCCACTGTATATTTACCTATAGAAACATCATTTATTCATAATTTTGGATTCATCCCCAAAAAACATGCCCTCGTTTAAGCCTTTGTTTATTCTTTGTTTGGAATAAAATAAGCAAACAAACCAACTTTTAAGCCTTGGTTTAAAAGAAGGTTTGCTTGCTTGTTTTAGTCTTTTTTTTTTTTAAAAAAAAAATCACAAATCAACATTTAAAAGCAGGGCCAAATTCGTACTTTAAATAATATATGAGTTTTAAAGGTTTTTTTGGAATTAAAATAATGCTTGTTGGAACATGTCTTATTTTTACAGTATTTAAGAGCATTTGAAGCATTTGATTTCTGGAAATTCTGGTATTCCTTACAATAGAAATCGATAGATGTAAATATGCATTTTTGTACTGTAGACTATTGTCTACACTTTTTTTTTCATTGCTTTTCTCTTGATGGAAATAAAACCTGAACTATAGTAGTCGCATTTTGAATCTTGATGCTGTTTGTGCAGTATATATTGTGATATTAACACAAAGATTCAGACATAGGGATAAAGGCATGAAATATTTGATGTCTAGTCATAACAACAATTAAGTATTCCCTTAATTGTAAGCATATGTGTAAATAAGTTATCTTTCACTGATGTTATTTTTTAAAATGTCATAACACTATATATTTAAAGTATTTTCAGATTTCTCAATAGTTGGTATTCTAGGATGATGAAATTTAAGGAATCTGGGCTAAAATTGTTGCATAAGTATTTCTCCCCACCCCCGTCTTATTGTTTCCCCTTATTCACATCTTCCTACTTGAGCAACATTTTTGAAAACTTCCTACTATATTATAGAGTGCTGTATCAGTCCTAATGATGAAACTGTAATAGTATCTGCTTACATTACATGTACTCAGAAGTGATTTTTGTTATCTTTTCTAAATCCTAAACGATCCGTGATCGCCTTAATGCACAAGGCCATGACCGCCTTAATGCACAAATCATCGTTAAACATGAATTTTGCTTATCCTATTATCAGGGTTCCAAATAGCATCCAAAAGCAAATCTGAGTCCGAGGCAAAAGATTCCTCAAACTTCCAGTTTATTAAGAGAGCCATGTTGGCACATCTGGGAAAACCCAAATCTGAAAGCTTCCAGGTTTTCCCACCCAGATGAAAGTTCAAGATCCTGCCCCCATACCCACAAGTCCATCACATGATCCAATCTTCCATTGCCATGTTGGCAGTTTCCATCCATCCAGTTCCGGCCAGGTGCAAGACAAAGGATGACCTTGGCTTTCTAGAAAGAATGTTGTTATGGCTACATATCACCCAACTCTGTATAATCCCCCTCCAATTTTCCCACAATAGGAAATGAACAGTAGAAAATGTGGCAGGCATGAAGTCCAAAAGAAAAGAGGGCACCTATATGTCTTTAAAAGCTTCCTACATTTCATTCTGTTTTCGTTTGTTGAGTGTTTTGTCGTCTTCTCGATTTCCTCCTGAAAAATCCATTTCTCGTGGTGACGCTGTAAAACTAACAAAGCTTCCGGCCTCCTGTTCTCTTTTCTAACTTCTCTCTGTCCCCTCTATGTCTTGTTTTGTCTGTAGTCGTGCTGAGCAGATTCCTCCTTGCCTGACAAATGAATCTTCTCTCCCCTCTCCTTGGGGCACACCAGCTTTGTCCAGGAAAAGGTACTGATCTTACCTTCCCCAAACTGACACCGTGTCTTTCTGTGTTCTTCAATCGTTGTTGTTGTTGTTGTTGTTGTTGTTTTTAAAACTTTCTCTGGAGTAAAGGCCCTCTTATTGAGTCCATAAAGCAGGGGTGTCAAACTCGATTTCATTGAGGGCCACATCAGGGTTGTGTTTGACGTCGCAGAGGGGTGTCATGGCCAGGTGGGTGTGGCCATAGTTGGCGTGGTCAGCTTGCCATCGCTCATATTGACGGCACCTGTGGTGGCCTTGGCAGTGCTGG